TTGATTTCTTTAAAAATAAATGTTTCACCATTTGTTTTAGCCAAAAAGCTAAGAATTTGACACAAATTTGTGAAGTAATATTCTGTGAGCTGTAACTGTATATTGATGGAAAAAATGAAATATTTAATTGAAAAAGATTGCCAGACTCTTAGGTAAGTCTTTTTCAACAAGAGTTTGAAATTTTATTCTGCAGGTTCTGGATAGTCTCCCAGAATAGATCATGCCACTACTTGGAGCACAGTAAAAGCCTAAAATGACTTTATAAACGAGCTATTAATATGTAAATCAACCCTGTAACTGGTCTATATGAAGTGTGATATAGACATTTTCAAGGTTGTGCAGCATCCCAAAGATCACCTAGAAAATGCTAGAACCCAGTGGGTGGTAACTATCATGGAAGATCCAGTGATTCCTGAGCTCTTTTTTCCTGAAAGGGGTTGTGCAAATAGTTGATTTTTCCATTAACAAAAAAAAAAAAAGAAAAAAAAAGAAAGAAGACTTGCATTGACATGAATCAATTGCTGACCTTCTCAAACTGAGTGAAATTTTTGTTTCCTAAATCTTAAGTCTTCTTAAATATGACTGATCTATGAAACATTTTAGATATTTTAAAATTTGCTTATTTCAGTACATTTCTAAGATAAATATATTAAACATTTGATTTCTTTAAAAATAAATGTTTCACCATTTGTTTTAGCCAAAAAGCTAAGAATTTGACACAAATTTGTGAAGTAATATTCTGTGAGCTGTAACTGTATATTGATGGAAAAAATGAAATATTTAATTGAAAAAGATTGCCAGACTCTTAGGTAAGTCTTTTTCAACAAGAGTTTGAAATTTTATTCTGCAGGTTCTGGATAGTTTGTCATTTCCCAGTGTCACTATAAGGGGAATAGTCAATGAAAGTGGTAAACTTTAGCAGAGGTTCCTTAAAGAAAGGAGGGAAGGAAATGTCATAGTATATTCTACTTGTGTAGAAATCATTTTGCTTTAATACCTAAATGTCACGTTTAGAAGTGAATATGAACAATGCAAACATGAAGAAATTAGATGCTCACTGCTATAATGAATTACCATCTAAATTAAGCTGCAACAGCGATTTTGATGTGTGTCACATTTGCACATTTCATTTTTTACTTGTCTTTCTTCACATTCTTCACAATAAGCCTTTCCCCAATGTTTTGTCAAATAGCTTCAATAGGAAGCACAGTTCTTGATAATCCCCAGGTCTTCCTGTCTAAGCAGACATCTTAAACCAGAGCAGGGCTAGGGTGAATCATTTTAGGATATACTTTTTGTATGTATATATGAAAATATGCATAAACATGTCACCCTCCACTTTGGGAGGATGTAAAAGGTGGGACATGATAGTTGTGAGAGGCTCACAGTTCTGCAAAAGAAGGTGATGTGGGTGTTGGGGGGGAAATGAATTGTCCGTTAAATAGGGAAAATGGAGTCTGCTTTTTGTTCGGGGCCTTTGGAATCTGTGGGTGGATTGGAACTGGCAGGCCGGGAGCAAACACCCACCCACTACAGGGCTGTGTGGTTCAGAAGTTTACAAGAGTGTTTGTGTTCCAGAAGCTGTTGGCCTTGAAGCCAGTGGGGAGGGGGAGGAGAAGAGGGAGAAAATGAGAAAAACACTGTGGTGTTAGGGCCCTTCCTCTGAGATATTTTTTTCCTTCTCCTTTCTCCAGCTAGAGGGCTGTGGAACTAGAGCAAGACAAGCAGTTACTGGGGGAAAGATGAATGTAATTTTAAAATACACTGCACTGCACAATCCATCATCAAGGGAGGCAGAGACTTCAGAAACCGCTGACACCTTAATCCCAAATGAGAGCGCTCTTTGCTCCTCTTTCTCCTGCCCTATGGCTATTTGATTCTACAAAGCCTATAAGTTACAGACAAATGGAAATTTTAATGTATTGTTATTGTATGAGTTGCAAACGCCAGTCTTTTGATGCCTAGAACTATGTGGAGAAAACTGCAGGTTGAGCTGTTTGATTCTAATGCTCTGCCCATCTCTAGCACTGTTATTCCAAGAATCTAAAAATTGTTTTCTGTCACTTCATGAATTTAGGTTCAGAAGCTGCCCCTGATTCACAATCTCAATATTGCAAATATAGAAACTGAGGCACAGAGAGACTAAATAGCTTGCCCAAGGCAACAGGAAGTCTGTGGGAGAATCAATTCCAGATGTCCTGAGTTTTCTGCCGTAACCACAAGCCCATCCTTCCTGTTTTTTGGTAGTCCCCTCTGCTTCAGGAATTCCATATATGAATTCCAACCATAAACAATCCGTTGTGTGCTCCAGTGATTTACTTGCATAAAAGACACATTTGGAAGGGAAGATGGCACCTCTCTTAAAATAAGCTGCAGTTATTACTGTTATTTCTAAAGGATGAGGGAGGAGGAGTGCCAAAAAACATCTTCCAGAGCTAAGAAGCTTTACGTTACTAACCGAAATTCCTTCCAAGCATTAATTTCATCCTTTAAAAGGATCAGGAACTCCATACTCCCTGTTGAGTACGTCTGGACATTTATATCCTAGTGAGTTAAAAATGGCTGAAACTGAATTAAATCTGTCTAGGGAATTATTCTACTGCTCATTACAAGTGTATCTGAGTTACCTTCTATGAAAAACAGTTAAATTCCCATATTCCTAGTGGACTTCATCAAGTATCTAGTACTTCTCTTGTGTCATATTCAGAACTTTTCTAAGATGAGGGTGAACAGTAGGAAGAGTTTTTTTTTCTAGTAAAGCACATGTTTTGGTCTGGAAAGATGGCATGAACGGAATGTCATGGATGTGCTTCATATTATCAATAAGTGACATAAATCAGTTCAAAAAAACACTATTGAAAATGATTCTTAACTAAAGCTTTTAGATAACCCTATTACTCAGTGCAGAATACTCCTAGGCCTGCTTTCTGTTAACATGGTAACCTCTTTAGCACTAGGAATCAGTAACTAGCACAATATAGTCTTGATTGTCAGTTCCCATCTTTAGACTTTGGTATGGTGGTAATACCTAAGAATTCCACTCATGGATCATTAAATCCATTGTGCTATGCACTATATGAACACAAATCCAAAGGATACTTCATGCCAGCAGTAGATAAAGGTTCTCTAAGCATCTTCTCTCAGTACATGAAGATACAACTGATGACTTGAATCAACATGTTTGGTTCTTCCCTTCTCTGAACTCCCTATTAATACATGAAGGCTTGATACTTCCATTGGATGTGTGAGAGAGGGCTTCCCTGATGAGAAATGCTGATTCACTTGAAAGATCAAGGCTCTTTCACAACTCTTTGACACCTCTTTCCCTTACTCTGAATGTGATTTCAGAATATAAAAATTCAAATAAAATATCAGCTTGATTTTGACTAAATCTCATCCTTTTCTTGTTTTCTACTTTGCTCTTTGAAGTGGTATATGGAAATACATCTATTTGCTCTACCTCTTTTTTCCTGATCTGTTTTCTCTGAATTTATATTATAATGGTAAGCACTTTCAGAAGAGACTATCCTAATGCTCAATTTCTGCATCCCTCAGTGTAGAAAGATTCTGAACTATGAATACTGCTTCGACTGACAACTTCATTACAGATAATACTTTTAACAACAATTGTATTTCTGTGAAGCTATTCTCCAGCCTTGTCTGCACACACAGTGAATTTACAGAGATTCCAAGATCACAGAAATAACCTTTTAAATTTGTTTCTTATGTGTGTGCTTAGAGCTAGTTAAAAAATGTTCAGACTTTCAGTTATGTAGCTCATGAAAAAAGGGGAAAGTCAACTTTTTTGTTTTGTAAATTAATTTTAATAGAGACTAGAGAACATTTAATTCCTGCTCAGAATAATGAAATAATAATAAAATTCGCAGAACTGAGCAGTGGTGATATGTGCACGCATGTTGATATATTCATTTTAACTTCTCCAAACTGTTCAAGGTTGAAAAAGGGATCAGTAACAGAACAGGAAACTTTCAAGAAAAGCCTTCAGTTCTGGAAAAAAAGTGCAAAATCGCTCAGTAGAGGGTGCTCTTCTCTCTGGGTCTGCACAGAGTACAGCCAAATGGGAGGTAAAAAAAGAGGTCCTTATTAGCCATGGTCCTTAAATATTCTGTATCACATTTTGTTGAAATAAGGATATTGACTTGCTCAAATTTGTAACAAATGTATTTTTTCGAGCCTGAAGTCACGTTACCATTTCAGTGGGGGTTTTGGTAGTTCATCTATTTTCTCTGTACCCGTATTGTGGTTGTGCCTTGTATTCCTTCCTTATATCAAACATGCATGGAGTTTGCGTGTTTGCATTAGATGCGTAGAGTGTTAGGCATATGGCATTTGTGTATTTTGCTCTTTATTCCATGAATGTTTTTTAAAATATCGAATGCATGTGTATGAAGTGTTGTGTAAATTTGGTGCATGACTTGTCATGTTTTGCATCTGAGTGATTTGTGCTATCAATGTATATACTGTTCCATATCATAAGTTGTGTTTGTAAAGCTGGCATGTGTATTGTGTTTGCACGTGTGTGATTTCTGCTAATACAAAGGGGTGTATGCTCAATGTTGTAAGCAGGTTTTGCAAGTACAGGTTTTATGGGGTGCACTTGCACTTGTATGTGTGCGAGTGTGAGGCATACACTTTTTTGTGTGCTCCTTTTTTTTACTACTGTTCAGGAATAAAACTGTAAGAAGAAAAAAAGCCTTGCCCTCCCGCCCCTCCACCGCAGCGAGCTGGTCTGTGAACCCAGCACTTTATTCTCTCTCTCCCCGGCTCTGCCGCCCGGGGCCTTTCTGTGCGCCTGCTTTGCAGAAGCTCTAAGAAGAGCGAGAGGGGGGAGGCGGCCGCTGTTCCTGGAAGAGCCCAGCCTGGGGAGTTGGTCACATTCTTGGCTGTGATTCAATGACTGAGGCAGACACCAACAAACAGAAAGGGGGGGGAGGAGTGAGGGAGGCTGAGCCAGCCTGCATTAGCTCAGCTTTCAGGCACTCTCAGTCTCTGCTGGAAAGAGGAGCTGGGAGGATGAGCGCTCTGTTACCGCGGCTCCCCACAGCACGCTGAAAAGACCGAGAGAAAGAAGAAAGGAAAACCGAGAGACGAAGAGTCCTCCCAGACCAAGCTAAGGGACCACGAGAGAAAAGGGAGCCTGCCTATCTGTCCTTCTGTAGTCCCCTCGCCGTTTTGGAACTGCCAGGGATTTGGGCCTTTTAATTTTATTCTGCGTTGTTCCCCTCCACAGACGAAGCTTTCTTCCTCCTTCTGCTTTTTACTTTCCTCCCCCGCTCCTTCCTTTTGGTGGATATGGACAGAACGGAGATTATTGCAGAGAAGCAGCAGCCGCCAGAACATATTTGAGCCCCTGGTGCTCGGAGCGTGGCATAGACTTTTTGTATTTTTGTGGGTGCGTGCGTGTGTGTGTGTGTGTGTCTTGTATGTGTGTCGGAGGTGTGGGGGGCGGGATTGGTTTGCTCGGGGGCTTGGTTGAGGGGGTGAGTGCTCGGATGAAGACCTCTTTTGGCGTGACTCTTTGCTCCATCGGGGCATCTTTGGAGACTTGGAGGTTTTGAAAGTGTAACAAAGCGAGAGAAAAAGAAGAGGGAGAGAAATACGTACAAAAAGGATTTATTTGCTGTTCATTAGTGGATTGTTAAACCTGAGTGGGAAGGAGAAAAAACGAGGGTGGGTTGTTTTATTTTTATAATAATTCTTTTTTTCTTAAAAAAAAAAAAACCCAACAACTTAAATTGGATTTTTTTTTTACCAGGGTGGAAAATAATTGAGGGTTTTGTTGTTTGTTCTGGGAATAGAAACTAAAAAATGGAGACTGTAAGTAGAAGCAGCTTCCAGCCTCATCCAGGACTGCAGAAGACCTTGGAACAGTTTCATCTGAGCTCTATGAGCTCCCTGGGTGGCCCTGCTGCTTTCTCAGCACGATGGGCACAGGAGATGTACAAGAAGGACAATGGCAAAGACCCAGCAGAACCTGTATTGCATCTGCCCCCTATCCAGCCTCCTCCGGTGATGCCTGGCCCCTTCTTCATGCCCTCGGACAGATCCACAGAGAGGTGCGAGACCATCCTGGAAGGGGAAACCATCTCTTGCTTTGTGGTGGGCGGAGAAAAGCGGCTTTGCTTGCCCCAGATCCTGAACTCGGTGCTCAGAGACTTCTCCCTGCAGCAGATCAATTCAGTGTGTGATGAGCTACATATTTACTGCTCCAGATGCACCGCTGACCAGCTGGAGATCCTCAAAGTCATGGGCATCCTGCCCTTCTCTGCTCCCTCCTGCGGGCTCATTACCAAAACTGATGCTGAGAGGCTTTGTAATGCCCTGCTTTACGGTGGCACCTATCCTCCCCACTGCAAGAAGGAGTTTTCCAGCACAATTGAGCTGGAGCTCACAGAGAAGAGCTTCAAGGTGTATCATGAGTGCTTTGGGAAGTGTAAGGGGCTCTTAGTCCCAGAGCTTTACAATAACCCCAGTGCAGCCTGCATTCAGTGCTTGGACTGCAGGCTTATGTACCCACCTCACAAATTTGTGGTCCACTCTCACAAATCCCTGGAAAATAGGACTTGCCACTGGGGCTTTGACTCGGCAAACTGGAGGTCCTATATTCTCCTCAGCCAGGATTACACTGGGAAAGAGGAGAAAACACGGCTGGGCCAGCTCTTAGATGAAATGAAAGAAAAATTTGACTATAACAACAAATACAAGAGAAAAGCCCCCAGGGTAAGTGATGTCTTTAATTCTTATTTTAACTGAGGAAGGGAGAAAGAGAAAGGGGAATTTTCTATAATTTAGGTGACATCCATTGATATACCCATGTGTTACCAAGTACTTTTCATTTTGAAGTCACTTAGCAATCTAACCATGCTGTTAATTCTTACCACGTGTTTTTCAGTGTAGATGAGCAGAGTTTGAGATGGCACTTTTTAATGGTTGTGAATTTAGATTTTTTTTTTTCTGTTCTGAATACAGTAGTTAGAGTTTAATTGAATTACATATCTATATGTATTTGTTTATCTTAGTGTACATGGAACTTGATCTTTGAATCCCATCACATTGCCCCAGACTCTAGCAGGAAGTATGTAACATCGGGATTTAAGGGCATGAATTAGGGGTCAAGACAAGGAGGATGCAAGAGAAAAAGTAACAGATTGCTCCAAACACAAATATATACAGCTTCCTTCTCAACTGCATACCTCCAGGGGTGGAGGCAAAGGCTAAATTGTCTAAATGCATGTATTGTAATAAAATGTGACTGCTAAGAAAAATCCTGACAATAATGCAGGCTATTAATATTCAGATTAAGTACCTGGTACGTGAACAGAGATTTCTGTGCTTTCTGAGAATCTCAGTGGAGTCTGAATCTCACCACCAGACTGGCTTTTCTATATTGGATTATGTGTATGTTCAGTAAATGAATCTGTCTAGGGCCAGCTGCAGCAGCCTCTTTAAGGTATGCCATGCAGTATTCAGTCTGCCTATCCAGACAGCACGTTTATTTTAGTTGCCTTCCCGCCCCCCCCCACTTCAGTCTGAGCTGCCTTTAGATCCCAGAATCCCTTGTCTAGTATGTCGGTGGGAGGCTGCCTTGGCATCTAGCACCAGTCCTGATCAATGGGCAGCGATGAGTGCCACAGGGCCTTGAGGATTTGCTTGCAGACACCAGGATGTCTGGCTAGCTGGCAGTGGTGCAATTGGCTGCAGGATGAGCAGTTGACTTCCCACCCCTTTTCTCCCCCCCTCCCCAAAGGGTAAAAGGCAAATAAGAAAAGTCGAATTAACTCTTGCCTACTGAGTTTTACACTGCTGATTTGTTGTATTGATTTTGCCTCATCTGTTGGAGATTTTGGAAACTTTTCATGGGTTTTTAAGTGTCTGGAGTGGAAGAGCAATGACACTAGCCCCAAGGAGAAGCAACATTCAAAGCCCGTTGAGAATGTTCAGTAAGATTCTTAATTAACTTCCCAAATATATGTTTAAACATACAAACACACACTCAGACTCATGTATAACTTTCCTTTAAAAAAAAATACCGAAGCTGATTAAATACCTTTCACACACAATGCAATAGTTAGTAAAGCTAGCCTAAAAGGCCTAATTAATAGATTGGATTGGCTTCCACGTTTTTTTGATCAGTGAATGGAGTCTCACAAGTTGCCATTCCTTTCCTGGTCTTCTGTTTAGCAGCCCCCCCCTCCCCCTTACCCTTCCTTTTTCTCCAGCTTGAGTGTCAGAACCACTGTGACAAGCCTGGGCTGTAATGAGCCATATTATCTCCATGGTTGGAGGTGGATGTGTTTTTAATGGCTTGTCTATTCTCTGTCAGTCATGTGCCAAGAGGGAACGGTGGGATAGACATATGAATGCCTGTGAGAGGAGAGTACAATTCTGAAAGTGGAGATATTTTTAAGCCTGGGAAACAAGTTTTATGTGACATGCTTTGTTTGGGAAGCAGAATTAAGAAATTCCACTTTCTTGCTCCCTGAATGGTAATGTGTCTCCAACTTGGTCATTTCCACAGTTTAAAATTAAAATGAATGTTATTGGAGGTGTGCATTCCTTTTCTTCCAAGGCTTTTATGGTACTGTACTCTCTGCAGTTTATCCAGTACACTAGGTGAGATTGCACATGGAGAACAAGATAGGGACTATACCTGCTTAGAAAAGGCTACTAAATTTTGGTATTGCTTGTCTTTTTTGGTGCCCATTTAATTGGTCCTAGTTCAGAACATGGCAAGTACTTTTCCTCCACCCTCCAAAATCTGCATACATCACAATGCTTCTTGCAGAGGGATTTTGAGATACCTTTAGTGGACACCAAAAATTATGTAAGACAATAATAACAATCTGTTTTTCAGGAAACTTAGCAAAAATCTGTCATAAAAAAATGTTAGAAGTCTCCTGCATAGGCTCTTTTGAGAGGTGGCAAGGAGTTTGATGGAGGAAGACTAGCGTGGTAAGCGTATGTTCTGATGATAGGGTAGAGAAAGCGGAACGCTTCATCATAGATCCTGTGCAGAAGTGGGCTTAAGTTCCAAGGCTTTTGTGCTGTCTTCAGGGCTCTTTTATAAAAGCAGTGCAGTCTTGAAGCAGTCTGTACGCAGCTCATTTACCTGGCAGTGCTGGCTGAGTTTTGAACACTTACACTTCCATTTTCCGGAGCCTTTTTCTGTTGGGCTTAACCAATAGATATCATATGCCAAGGTTATTTGTGTTGTAGAAGTGTTTGCAGATAATTATGGAGAGATTTAATCTGGCTCTAGGTTTGGTAGACTGTGGCCAGGGGCAAATAACACTGGAGTAAAGTTTAGATCGCCTAGTGAGGAAGTGAAAGGATGATCCCATGTCTGCTTCTGTGTGTTTATGTTAATCATTGTCAGTCTGTGTGGTTTTTGTGTGTCTGAGCTCTGTCTGCCTCTGTGGATGAAAGGGTGAAGCATATGTGTCTTTGTGGTGGTCTTCCTTTTTGATGTGTATCTCTGCATTGCTTTGTTTTATCGTATGTATGTTTGTGTGTGTTATATGCCTTAATATGCTGTGTCAGATGTTCTGCCTTCTACTTTCAACAGCATTTCTTTCGTTTTCCTGATTTATGTATGTATGTCTGCATGTACGCACACATGCACACCATTTTGTGTGGTATGTTTTCTGTGTTTTCCCTGGGGCTCTGTTAGTATGTTGGTAGTAGTGGGATGTGTGTGACTGTTGTGGCTGTATAAGAAGCAGCGAGTTTTCTGGCGTTTTTGTGGGTCTTCATGAGGTTTATATGATGAGGTGTGTTTGTAGGATTCTTCCAGCACAGTTCTGCCTTTTAAAGGTTTGACTTCTGAATGGAGGAGGTGAGTTGGCAAGCGCCCTCATTGTAGATTCAGTTTACTGGCAAAACTGCTTTTTTTTTTTTTTTTTTTTTTTTTTTTTTTTTTTTGCTTTAGGTGGTTTTACAGCATTTGCTACAAGGGTTTGTAGGCAATGCCTTGCCTACAGAATTGCATTCCCACCATATATTCCTATATGCATCAGGCACCCATTGTGCATGTATACTGACATAGTCTCTCTGTCAGCATGGTTGCTTGAACAAGGTGTGCGTTGTCTGGTCTTGCCACTCACAGAAGAAGTTTCTGTCTAGATCTCTAGCTCCATGAAGTCAGCAGTGAGTTTTAACCAAAATCTGGAGGGAGTGGTGACAGCTGGACCCCACCATACCGGGAGCTAGAGGAGCCATAGATCCCTCTGCCACTTCTGTTACCCTCTTTAAAGTTTTATTTTTTATATGCTCCCTTTTTGTCCTTGGATGAATGACTGACCTCCCATAAGATGCTTCACCTTCTTGTCACTTCCCAAAGCTCCCCCTTTTCTTGAGACATATGATAACTTCTTTCTTTTCCTTTGGTTGTGTCCCTGACTGGGTTTTCTATCTTTTCACATGCTTTTGCATTTTACTGTGCTTTGTTTTCTGTATGATCTTTTCAGAATCTCCACGCAGAAATACTGGTTTTACTTGAGCGGGTGTCCCCTTTCCCTTCCTGTCTCTCACTTCATCCACCATTACTAGCACGGAGCACAATTGAATTCTAGGGTATTTCTAGAGATTTAAAATATGAATAACCTGACAGGGTGACAAAACAGGGTCCTCAAAATACAGTATCAATGCTACAGCCTTTTTCTTGAGCTGAACAGCTCAAGAAAACGTGTTGAATCTTTGCTTACTGGTATAGATACGGCCTTGGTGTTTCTCACACTCTGTTCCCATTTCAGAGTGCTCTCTGCTTTCTAAAGATCAGTATGCCTCCACTATGACTGAATTCATAAAGGAGGCCTTAAGGCTTTGTTGGTTGCTATTTCCAGTAAAGCAGGGTGGGTTCCATTCTGTCATTTTTGAATTCTTCCCCCACCGCCTTTTTTTTAATACTGAACTGAGCAAAGTCTGACAGTGCTTTCATATTTCCTACCTGTGTGTCAGACATCTGTACTTTAAGCATAAATGTGTATAGTCAGATACTGGGAGAATAAGAGGGCCTTCCCTGCACACATGTGAGTACACCCACACGTGCTGGCACTGCAGTGTTCCCACGGTTCAAGTCCCAGCAGCACTTCTACGAAGTAGCTGGAAGCTAGAAAAGAAGCATTCTGGGTACTGACACACAAATGAGCTCATAAGGCCTCCCACTTTATTTCACAATGCCTACGAACCCAATGCTGCCACAACATGTAGCTTTCTCAGCTGATGTAAGGTTTGGCCAGATCAGCCGTGCAGCCAAATCAAAGAACAAAAAGCACTCAAAGTGAAACAATGCGGTACTGACTTGAGTTGTAAGATAGCTGTGGCCTTTTAGTTACTGTACAATGGTTGTTATGGTGCACCTGTAGCCATCTGAAATGTTGCAGTAGTAGAGCCAGAATGTGTATCTTTCTGTTTCTATATCTGAGAGTCCAGGCTCCTGGCAGTAGTAAACTTCTTTATTAATAGTATATATTCTACAGTAGCTATAGCAGAGCAGTTCTGATTTTTTGCACAGGCAGTGATGTTCAATCTACTAGCGGTATTTATTGTTCTCTGTATAAAACTGGCTTCATGAGTACTCCTGTAAAATTTTGCCTAAGGACTGTGGTATCAATTATTATCCTATGGAGTAATTAAGTTATTCATTGCCTTATCTGACTTTTTAAAATTACATTAGAGATTCTTTAATACAAATTTTGATGACGCTAAATCAAAAATCCTGAAGTCTTGAAGCAGTAATTTAAGCTCAGAATGATTTTGTGGCTTAGAAACTGAGCTTCAAAAAAGGTACCAAGCTTAAAGCAAAATTCTGTGCGTCTGTAGAGATGTCAATGTTTAAGCAGACATCAGCATTT